CACCATGATGACCACATTCAAAACCTTACTGATGCAAGTCAGACTTGCCTCTCAGGTTTCCAAATATATCTTATTTGGAGCAGATAGTTAAAGGCATCCATAAAATGTTCCTTCTACCTTGCCTGCGTTACCTCCAAAGTAGTTCCCTGCACAAGTTTCTTGAGAAGACAGCAACCATCAATTCTCCACAGATGGGAGTGGAGCTTGATGCCTTGCCATTTGATAGGCAAGATATACAGGTTCAAAAAATGGAATTGCTCAAGAATTCAGAAGTGTTAACCAGAGCCAGTTTATACTTCTTAGTGACAAAACTTCAAATGATTTCCTTAGAAACTTTAAATTTGTTCAAGCACCATATCTTGCTTTCCAGGGAATTAAAATTTTGATACATTTCTTTACTGGATGAATACATCCATTTTTTTTTTTTTTTTTTTTTTGCTGTGGATTCCTCACAGTGAAAAATCTGTATTTGGTTTACTTGTTTAGTAGTTAGGTATGCCAACAGCATAGAATGGACAATACAGAAAGTCAGAAAATACACCATTTACTATCCTTTAAACTTTCTGTATCTGAAAACAATTTACATAGGTGATCTAAAATGCAGTTTAAAAATTAAAAAAGTGCCAGCTAAACAGCTCAGCAGATTTAAGCGCCTGCTTAGGTAGATGCAGGAGCCCGGGGTTCGATCCCCAGGCCTGCTGTTCCTGCCCTGTCCCCAGGGCACGCTGAGACAGTGATTGAGACTGGGAATGGTGGCATGTGCCTGCAATCCCAGCACTTGGCTGTAAATAGTAGAATCACTACAAGACCCATATACATAGTGAGACCCTGTAAAACCTGTACTAAATACATCTTTAAAAAAATAAAAATGAAAATTAAAAAAAATATATAACCAAAATAAAAAGACAAAAAGGACTTGTAAATTGTTAAGCACAATATTTTTTTAAAAAAAGGTCTGAAAGGTAAGCTCAGAAGAAGAAGAAGATGAAGAGGTCTTTCTGGTGCTTACAGAAGATGATACAACTTCAACAGACTGGGAACAGAACTGTTTGTACTTTTAATACTTTTGTCCTCTCTATGAATAGTTAAAAGCCAAAAGTTAATACTGATTGTATATCATGGTCAATCCCAAATTTGAAATTTCATGTTAAAATACTAACTGAATAAACAAACAAGAGATAAGACATACTAGAGCCATAAAAAAAATCATGGCTTCTTTCTGAATATAGATACAGCATGAGAAGAAAATATGGTGGCTTCTGGTTAAGCTAATTTACTTGAACTCTACTATTAAGAGATTGACCTCAAGGCACAGAACAGTTGATGGGGCATCCTGTGTCTACTTGTCTGATTGTCCCTTGGATACTGCCTGCTTGGCTCTAGAGGCTCAGAGGAGGAGGAATCAGAGTGATGCTGGGTGCATTGAGATAAAAGACATGCTCTTCTATAACTGGAAAACAGCATGAGAAGTTACTTTAAAACTAGGGGCGTTTGGAATGGCAGTGGGAGGACTGGGGAGAGGTGTGTTCGGTGCCTTTTCTGATTGGGACAGCTGGCTGGTAGAGCAAGTGCTGGCCACAGAGCATGGAACCCACATGTTTAAATTTTAAAAAGTCTTCATTGTTGGCCTTGTTACATAGTAAGTGTCTTAGGACTCCAAGGTATATCACAACCGATACCCAGTAACAGTTACCTATTTATCAGTGAAAGACTATTGAACTCATGAACTAAATGCAACTCATGAAGACAACAGTGGACCTCTCAAAATCCAGATTTTATTTAAATCTTGGAATTAGGAAGCCCTACTTGTATTAAGATATGTCCACGTAAAAAGTGTGCTGTAAGGTATGTGAGAAATGCTCTTCCTCTCCTGCCGCTCCCTGAAGTCCTTATTGTAATAAAAATACCCGGTTAGTGTCTAGGCAAGCAGTCCTCAATACTTTTTATGTATTTGTTGAGATATAAATATCTCTAGATAAAGTAATAACACACATGAAGCAGTCATTGCCTATTGACAGGAAGACGTGCGTGAGGTAGATAGTAGAAATCAACAAGGCCAAGCTGAGCATGATTTTATGGTAGACAAAATATAGAAACTGTGTCAATAATATTACTCCACCCCTCTCTTGTAGATCCAGTAAATAAAAGAGATTTTAACTGTCCGTTCTGTAGGGATGGCACACTTCCCAATACGTCTGTGTCGGTAAAACTTACAAAATACTGCACTTTATGTGACTAAAACCCTAAGGAGGCCACCACTGTAAGACGTCTGGTATGTACGTACACACGTGCACAAGCATGTATCTACGGCACTGGGGGCTGAACTGGGGGCTTTTGCACGGAGCTACATCCTGGCCCCCCCCCTTTTTTTTTTTGAGATAAGGTTGTGCTAAGTCGCCTCACACAGGCTTGAATTGTGATTGTTCTGCTTCACTCTCCCAGAGTACCGAAATTCTACGTGCAGGCTATGACGCACCGCTCAATATTTATTTATTAGAGTAGCTAATATCTGTGTAGCTTGCTGACACTGAGCAAGATCTCCAGATTTCAGAAGACTCAATTAAGCTCCAGTTTATCAAATCAGGTATTCATAAATAGTATAGTTCTGCATAAGTAAATACAAACCAAATTTTTAGTGCATTCTACTCAATAAATATGATGTTTTGCTAGACGTTTTCATTTAATAATATCTATTAACAGAGTTTAGGTAGATCAATAAAGCCTGAGTTGTGACTTTTATTCTAAATATCACTACAAATCCCACACATTTTTACTTTTTGATAACCTTAATTTAAACTCCTATTAACTATTCCCCCAACTGCTTTCTTTTTGCTTTACTATCCTCAGGAACACTCCTACTATCATTCTTCTTATTCTTTACAGAGAAACCTTAAATTTTCCCATCTACTCTCCATGTCCCAAATGCTGATGAATTCCTTCACTACAGAAAAGCGCTCCCTATACCTTTTTCTATCCCAGAGCCATTACTTTAGTTCATGCCCTAATTATCTTTCAGGTGCACTTCAATTTCTCATAATTAATACCTGTACTTTCCCTCTCCCTTTTCATGACAGCCCTCTTACACCCTGATACATGAGAAATTTTCCTAATGCATACATTCTTATGAAGTCGCTCCTTAGTTCAAAAACCTTCAGCAACTCACTATAAAGTCATAAAAAGCTTAAACTAATTAATACAGCATGAAAATCTTTTTCATTTGATCTCAATCTATTAGCTTTATATGTTAGTGCTTCTTTTTATGGTCATCATTCTTTAATTAATCCATTATACTGCCCATTATTTAAGGACACCCCTGGTTTCCAACTGCTGGAATGACCTTCTGAAATTTTTCTACTATAATCTTCCGGTTTCCCAAGGTTTAAGCTTAAAGGTCTTTTTCTTAATGTCTTATTCTACTCCCCCTCCGTTCTCTGCCATGACACGTAATGTATTTTTTCTTTGCTATTCACTGCACTGTGCCTTACATCATTGTTTTACTGTCTACATATCTTCTCCCCCACTTAGAATCAAGGACAGTGCAGCACAGGTGCCAACCAAGATGGCAATAAACATATCAAATAATCTGTAAATCATTCTAGTCTGATTACATGTATCACCAGGCACAGGAGGATCTGGTCTAGTGGCATTCCATTAGTGTGAATTTTAAGACAAGAAGGATCATGTATGAGTTGTTATATGTCCAGTATTTTCATTTCTTCTAGTGCAGGTAACTGCATCACACTGATTTCTTTGTATACACAAGAGAAAGGTGACATAAAGGACTCTCTAGGTTAAGTGGTGCCCAACTGGGCATCTGTCACGATTACAGCATCCTCTCTGAAATGTTCTGATACAGGAGAAAAGCAGGGAACCAGCTCTCCCCACTCTTACTATCTCGGTGTGGCTCGGGCGATGGCCGATGCTACAGCAGCATACAGGACAGTGCTTTCCTTCTTCCTGCTCTCAACAGGGTATATCTGGGTGTCTAGCAAGGCACCCACTTCCTGAGGCTCAGGAATCATTCCTCAGTCAGTCAATGGGACAACATTCTCATTTCGGGATATCCGTGTAAAGAGATCCGATTTTGCTCAATGAAATATAAAAGAAAATTTGCTGAAGAAGAGACTACATTGTTGAAAAGAGACAAATATGTTTTCTTCTGTCGGGTCTGAAAATTATAATACTTAAAATCATGGTTCTTGCATTAAAGCCCTACAAGGGGGCACCACGTGGAAATCGCTGGTATCCTGAGAGTGGAAAGGCAGTGGATAGTGTCACCTCACAAGGTCACTCTGACTTAAGACTCTATGGAAAGGAAAGAAAAGAAATTTTCCTTTTTCATTCAGCCTGGTGACCAGGAGGTTTCTCTTATAGCTGAGTCATGACACAGGACTTCATGTTGGTGTCAGGCATCTTTTGCTGGCAGGTATGAACCATTGCTTTAGAGGAGAAGCAAATTATTTTTCCTGTTGATTTGTTGCCAGATCCTGAATCTGTGATTGTCTTTGTTTTGTTTTACATGGGATTAAGTAAGGCCATAATGCCTTTTAAATGGATTGTATAGTTTTCTTATAATAATTTCCAAACTTAAAATACTGATGTGTCTTCTTCACCATTTTAAATGCTATACATGTGTAATGTATCTGTCAGGAAAATCCTCATCTTTACAACATTTGGCATCATCTTTCTTCCCTTCAGTGGAGAGGTAAAAATGTGACAAACCTCAGTCAACTAAAAATCTCTCAATTGTCTCTTGCACTTCTTATTAGAATTAAGGTTATCTAAAATATTTGGAAGTTTTTAGGACCAGAACAAAGCACGGGAATAATTAAGTACAGCTGACTGAGCTAAGCAAAGATGCATCAGTTAACTATCTCAAACGTCCCATTTTGCAGATATGGAAACTTAAAGCTACTGTAACAAGATCAGCATTAGCTCCATACTCTGACATAATAAGAAGCTGAATTCTAACAGACATTCACTGACAATGAAAAGGATATTTTCCTGGCAATGCTGTTCCAACTCTGTAATCAGTGAAGCTCTTGCTTGGATGGAAGTTGAAAATAAAAAGAAGATTTGCTCTCTCAAAAGCGATGATCTTATTGTCTTCATGTTTTTCACTTACATAGGCCTGCAAGAGTTAACATATGTTACATTTAAATAACCCCTAGATGCCACCACAAGCACATTATTTACAGGAGCACCATGTTGTCCTGAGTGCTCTTATTAGTTAGTAATCCAGACATGAAAACTCACAACTTTGTATTTCTTAAACATCACCTTCATATCAGATTCTAAGTCAACAAGAGTGTCAGAGTGTACTTGCTGAGTATAAAAATCTCACTAGCTACCTGCCAATCTCCAAAGCACAGAGGGTTGATGTTGTAGTTCACAATTCAAATAGAAACCTGGTTATCATCTAAATCATTTCTCTATTTGTATTAGTTCTCTTTGTAAGTGAATTTTTTTTTCCTTTTTTATATTTTAGGGAAGGGTCTACAGGGTGTTCGGGGTCTCACTACTAGATCGGCCTCGTAGTGATCCACCTGTTTACAGCTTCCCAAGAGCTGGGATTACAGGCGCACCACCATGCCCAGTCTCAATTGCCTTATCGGAGTACCCCAGGGGCAGGGCCTGCATGGCAGGCCTGGGATCAAACAAACCCCTGGCGCCTGCAAGCCTGCTGAGCTCTTTGGCTGGCCCTTATAATTGAACTTTCTTTAAGACTTTTGATTTGGTCCCCAGCTTAATGGGTCTCGTAGTTACTTTTCAAAATGTAATGTTATATTCTATCGAGTTTCTGAAACTATGGTTATCCTATACATTTTACAATTTTACTCAAGCTTGGCAGATTCAATAGCTACTCAATTCTTTTTTTTTTTTTTTTTTTTTTGTGGAAATGGGGATTGAACTCAGGTCCTTGTGCTTGCCAGGCAAGCACTTATTCTATTGAGCCATCTCCCTGGCCACTACTCAATTCTAATACGTTCAATTTTCCCCCTCAATAAAAGGAAAAAAGTTTGAAAAGTAACACCTGCAAGCACCCATATTTTACACATCATGTATTTACAGTTGGCTGCGAGGAGGCTTTGGCTTCCCGAACCACCCTTGCTCCCTCCGCCAGCTCTGAGTGGGCTCATTGTCATGCACATCAGCCGCACCTCTCTTAGTAATTTAGAAATGTGAACCAAGGCTCCAAGCAAACAGTGTGCCTTTTGGTATTCAACATTGTTCCTTCTGAAAAGGAGCATCATTTTGCTCTGTCTTCCAGAAATAGCATTACTAATAAATGTGATTAGGGCATTTGTGTCATGTAGCCAGTCTTCCTGAATATATAAGCACCTTTGTTCAGCCATTATAAACAAGCATGGTAGACACCAAAGTAAAAACACATCAACAGTCACTGCAAACAGCACCAATATAAAGTAAATGGATTATAACTAACACACACTATATGCTAATTTTTGCAAGGAAAAAAAAAAGCCTGTATAAAATTTGCACCTGTTAATTACATCTTCTAAAACTTATTGAAAACTGATACTTTAATTCCACAGGAGAGCCAGGCTCATGAAAAATACAAAACAGCACACAGGTATAATGACATCTATTGAAATGACAAGTTAGAGTCCAGTAAAGAATGGGAAAAAAAAAGGAATAAAGAAATCTACATGTTGTCAAAGTAGTTTCTTTATGACAACATGATTATTTATATAAATAAAAGTAGTCAAAACAATTAAGATGTTTCCACAGCAATTTCCAAAATGGGTTCCATGCAGTGCTTTTGCCATTTATTTTAACCAAATGAAATGAAAATTACTAAATTTAAACAACAAACAAACTAACCAGACAAGTAAGTGAGGCACCATGTTGAAGATTTTCATTATGTACTGGAGAGACTTCAGTGACATGTTTTGACAACCTGAAGTATGTTACAGGGCACTACACACTGAATAATAAACTGCTGTTTGGAAGATCTGCATATGGATTCAAATCAATTGCCATTCCACGCATGCACGACACTGGTGACTGGAACATCACTTTCAGAGTTAAGAGCTTACCTGTGGGGCTGATAGCCAGCCGCATCTTTCCTCCAATCTATTCATATCCCTGTCAAAGTTATTTAGGAGTTTATATCGAAGAAGGTCATCATCAGTTAAATGAAACTGCCTTCTGGCGTAATGGTAGCTCTCGTTGTTTCCTTTTCTTGGGAAGTCTAACCATTCGGGGTGCCCAAATTCATTACCTGCATTAAAGAGGGCAAACGTCAGGTAGTAACAGTATCACTTCTAATTAAGACACCACCATGGTTATAGGCCTTTTATTTTTTTAAACCAGCATACACTAAAATGCACTATAACTTTTCCCTGTGATAGATGTACAGGCCTGGCTCAAAAAGCATGTGCTAGTGTAGAGAATACAGCATGTGGACAGGGAAGCCCAGCTCACTCTGCACTTTTTAGCCTCCTCAGGCACAAATGGAGGGCCTTTATGCCTGCCACGGCTATTTCATCTCAGAAATAATCTAGGCTATGTCTGAGAAATTTCTGAAGTCTCTACCTCTCTAATCTCTGAAATCCGGACTACGCCTTACAATTTCTAGGGGCTTTGTACATACGCTATTTTTTGATCCTGAGAGGAAATCTCTATTATAGTCTTTACACAGATGAGAAATCCACAAGTCTGGCCCACTAAGGAATTCGCCCAACAACACATAGATAACACTAAGTGGAGAAGTTATCATTCGAATTTGCTTCTGATTAAAATCTGAATTTTTTCCTAGCACATCACATCGGGCAAGCACGTTATCAATTTCAAGTATTACAGAAATCCTATTATTATTATGAGTTTTCCCTATTTATTTTTCAGATGTAAGCATCGCCGTTAGATGTGATCTTTAATTTCAAGTAGACCTGTGTGTGTGTGTGTGTGTGTGTGTCTGTGTGTGCGTGCGCGTATGTGTCTGTGTGTGTGTCTGTGTGTGTGTGTCTGTGTGTGTGCATGTCTCTGTGTGTGTCTGTGTGTGTGCGTGTGCGCGTCTGTGTGTGTGTGTGTGTGTGTGCACGTGCATGTGTGTCTCTGTGTGTGTGTCTGTGTGTGCGTGTCTGTGTGTGTGTGTCTGTGTGCATGTGTGCGTGTCTGTGTGTGTGTGTGCATGTCTCTGTGTGTGTGTCTGTGCGTGTGCGTGTGTGTGCGTGTGAACACCTGTATATACAGATGGAAGACCTGTATGGGAACCCATTTAGATATCGCCTCTCTAGTTAATAAGAAGTTCCAGAAACCTAATGAACTTTTAAGAAATCGCGACAGTCAACATAGTATTTACTTAATAACCACACTTAGCTTGACGCTTACTGTTACCCTAAGTGGGATTTCTAATGTAAATTTTTTTCTCTAAAAGTTAAAATTTTTGAAAATTTGCTTTTTCATGTATTTCTGCATGCTGCAATTTTCTAGGCCACACATCACTCTGATGAGTGAAGTACCATGAGTGTGTCCTACTTCAAGGACACTAATATGTTACTATTCTGTGATATAAAGACATAAAAACTGGGCTATAACTAAAAATATTATTATATAGCTGCCTTACATAGTGAACTCTGCAAGGAAACCCTGAAATTAAGTGCAACTTTTCAGGAGCAGAGTATTACATTAGAAAAGGACATCCTAATACACAGTTGTATGGAAATTTCATAAAGAATAAAATGCCAATAGAAATCAGTAGTACAATCATCCAAGCTATTTCCTCTTCTTTCTTTTTTTCCCTCCTTCCCCTAATCCCATTTGTTTCTTTGAACAGTTTCTTTCCTTCTTTTCCTTTCATAGTAAGCACTGCATCTTTAGAATTATTTACTCTCTTAGGTTCTTACAATAGGGAGACAATACAAAGTTTACATATGCAGGTCTGATTTATTTTACTTTTGAGTATAATTAAATTGCTTTCATTTTTTTCTTTTCTTTTACCAATTTGTGGACCAATTTTGCACAGTTCTGTGTGGTAATCTGAACAACTAGTTTGAAAATAACCATACGCAATATAAGAGCCACTGCTGAATTCCTATCACTTTGTATAGTGAAATTCTGTATCATTTCTTTTTTTCCTATTTTTATTCTGTTAAATTTTTTTATTTTAAATAAAAATAATAGATAAGACATTAGAAATGATACTCAGTTTTAAAAACAAGATGATAGGCATTCCACTGTGGTTGTTATGTTGCACATGGCTGTCTTCAATGTAGGTGTTCAGATTACCAGATGTGAGCATGTAAAACTGGTCAAAGAATTGTACGTACTAGCTGATCCCTGAAAAATCTGATAGAAATTAGTAGTATAACCATCTTAGCTATTCTGTATACATAGGTACATACATACACACATGATTTTTGCCTTGTTCTTTTTCCTTTTTTCTTAAAAAAACAAAAACTATATATATATATATATATATATATATATATGTAACAAAGTGAAACATTATAGGAAAATTATCTTTTGATTATTGTAAAAAATTGAATATTTCAGTATAAAGACATCGGAGCATATCAAAATTAACAATCAGGTAACAGTTTATGTCACATTTTAAGTCAAATGTCTAATGTCAACACACTAAAAAACTCATGCTTTAGTATGTAAATAATTATCTATAAACAAATTTTATTTAATTACTATGTTTAATTAAAAATAAAATAAATACTATAATTTTTTGTAAATATTTAATATTTTAGTCTAAAAAACTAACTTCTTTGTTTTTCTTTTTCTTTGTTTTTTTTTTTTTTTGGTGGCATCAGGGATCAAACTCAGTACCTTGCACTTGCCAGGTAAGCACTTACTCCACTGAGCTATCTCCTCAGTCCCTAAATAACAATATTTCTTATGATGTTGTCCACAGCACAATAACAGAAATGCAGATTTTTTACTTTGTGAGCTTACACTTATTTTTGGATGCTTTAAGTTGCCACAAGGCATTTCTCTCTGCTACATTTATTTTTTTTATTTTATTTTTTGCAGAACGAGGGATTGAACTCAGGCCCTTGCACATTCCAGGGAAGTGCTTATTCTACTGACCCATCTCCCCAGCCCCTCTCTGCTACGTTTAAAGAGTCCCGCCCAGGTCTGTAGCCTGATCACGCAAGCCCACACTGTGCCCATGGTATTTCTTCTATCTTTTTATTCAACTGACAAAATGATACACCTCCAGAACTGTAGCCAGTTATGTTCCTGATCACTAAGGGACAAGTATATGTCAAAGTACCAAACCAATAAGTATATATCAAAGTATCAGTACTAGTAAGATTGCAAGCAGTGGAGAACTTAGCGGAGACCAGAAATATGATTAGGTAGATAAATTACATTAACCTACAAGCAGATTCAGGCCTTCTACAGGGAAAAAAATTCACGGTAGAACTTTTGGGTTAAAATCAGGATTAATAAGCAATTCTTTTAGTATTCTTCCTGGAGAAAGGGTCACATCATATGATCCCAGAACAAAAAGCAAGAAATGCTTAATGCCTACTGTTAGGTGCCAGGCATTACTGTAAGCATGGCAAATGAATTAACTTTTTCCATCTTCAACAACACTATGAGTTAGTCACTGTCGCTGTCCCAATCTGAGACACAGAAAGGTCACGAAGGAATGTGGACTGACCCCACAATAGGACTGGTGGCAAAGAGCAGAGCCAAGAGAAACAGATGAGATTAAAAATGAGGCCTATAAAGGTCAGGCCTTCTGTTGTAGGCAGTGAGACTCAAAAATTCAAATGTGATAATTGCTAAAATATCTGGTTCAATGTAGATGAGGGCCTAGATACTAGGAAACATTAATTGGCAGAGAAATTTGTGTAGCATTTAAAGCATAAAGGCTGATGAGGTACAGTAGGAAGGAGACATACCACAGATTCAAGTGACCTTGCTGAGAAGTATAGAACAAGATTTGCTGACTGACTGAAGGGAGAGAAGAAAGGCTGTCCGGATGCAGTCCTGAAGCTTCAAGTTGAGGAGACTGAATAGCTCAACATGAACTCTGTCACTATGAACTGTGGTGACAGAGGAAGCTTGGGTGAAAAGAAAATGAGTTCAATTTTAGGAATGCTAAATTTAAGACCTGAAGGATTTACAGGCATTCATGGATTTACAGTAAGAGTGATAAAAATGAGCTACTGAAATTCATGAGAGTATTGTAGGAAAAAGCCCCAGTTGTAAAACCATGATAAGTGAAGATAATTACAGCTAGCAGAAGAAATGGACCATCCAAGGAACCTCAGGCAGAAAGGGGACGTGAGTTGAGACTGAGGCCCAGTGGGCAGCAGAGTAGGGGAGCGTTCAGGAGGGGCCTCAAGTGCTACCAAAAAGCAAAGTAAAACAAAGCCTCTCAAAACCATAAGTAAAATGACAAAAGTATTACCTCTTTGGTATAGATAAAAGTAGAATTACGCTCTCCAACCTGTAATATTATGCTCCAGAATCACTAATGAGGTCTATTAAAAGTATTCATCTCCAGTAACACTTATTCATTAATTCTGGTGGATACATTTGGCCTGGAATCTACAATTTAAATACAAACTTCCCTGTAATATTCTAAAAGTACGTAGGATGGGGGCCGGGGAGATGGCTCAGTAGATTAAGCGCTTGCCTGACAAGTGCAAGAGCCTGAGTTCAATCCCCGGTTCCGGAAAAAAAATAAAAAAATTTAAAAAAATAAAAGTATGTAGGTTAATAAACTCACCCTGAAAAATATAACTGTAGAGATTTAAAAGTTTTTATGTCTAAGTTAGGATAGTTATACAACATGATATTCATGCATATACACTTCCAAATCATCCAAGTCCAAGTTTAAATTACCATGAGGCCACTTAAGAGTCACATGATTTAAAACTTCCAGTGTTGGCTTAGGGATACAGCTCAGCGGTGCAGTGCCTGCCTGGCAAGCACAAGGTCCTGAGTCTGATTCTTGGTAACAAAAAAAAAGTAAAAACACAAAAACAAACACACAAGCCTGCCAGTGCTCAGTTTCATCAACTATGAGATATGATAAAGGTCTTTCAGGCATTCATGAGGTGATCTCAGTGAGCTGCTTCACATAGGATTGGGTAGCTATATGTTCTCAATATCTGAGAGCTCTTAGGTTACATGACGTCACTCATCTCTCATGTGGAAGAAGGACTTAGAAGGTAGGAGAAAGGGGACGTGATGCTACAATCTCTGGCTGCCATCATTCTGAGCTGGAATCTAGCCATCCCTTATTTGCAGCAG